GGGGGGGGGTGAGGGGGGGGGGGGGGGGTGGGAGGCGGGAGGGGGGAGTGGGGGGGCGTGAGGTGGGAGGCGGGAGGCGGGAGGCGGGAGGCGTGAGGCGGGAGGTGGGAGGCGGGAGGTATACGTTCTATGACCGAGTCACTAGTTGTTGTTTTTTTAACAGTATTAACACTAAAAATACATACACACACGCGCGCACGCACACACAAACTATTAACAGCTCGCACTGAATGGTAATAGTCGATCGAGTCCAATCAAATAGGTCGATGATGGATAAAATTAAACACTTAATGACAAATAAAAGAACAAAACTTATACATCTGTCACGGGTACCTGGGTAAATGGGAAACGTGTCCACTAGTCCGCCAAATGTAAAAGTTTGGGAACCGCTGGTGTGGTGTATGTTTTTATCAAGACTCATTTCAGTGGTAAAAACGTTGCCATAAAGGAACACCTTGCAAGATAACGACGTTTCAGGCGTAGCTCCGCCCCCCTTAACCTCGATTACCGGTGACCTTTAAGATAGGGTCAACTTGAACCCTCTGTCGTGTACCTTGAAGTGAATTCAGGTAGAACGCGGTTACACAGCTCCTTCATCACGGCCTCGTAAAGTTGTGTGACACACGCCTGAGCTCGGTCTGTTTCCGGTCTCCAACCATTTCATGTTTTTCGTTTGTCCTGTAATCAATGGACAATGTCTCGGTTCTATAACTAAAACATCTACGTGGATGTGTTGTGTAGAGTTTAAAGTTTGAGAAGTGAATTTGTTAACAACCTGAATATGTCATAATTCTAGCTACTTCCTGGTGTCAACATGTGAAAGTTGTCCTACTGAAAGTGCAGAAAATGGCGGTTAAATAAAACATTTTTAGACTCCTGTGTAGGCTAGAAGTCTCCTGTGTAGGCTAGAAGTCTCCTGTGTAGGCTAGAAGTCTCCTGTGTAGGCTAGAAGTCTCCTGTGTAGGCTAGAAGTCTCCTGTGTAGTCTGCCATTCCACATTTTAATGTAAACAGTAATCAGTATTATTTTTCAAGATAACTCAAAAATGGTTTTTAAAGCTTTTTCAAGGTAAGCAACTGGTTAGACTTTACTTCAAGTCATAGTCATAAGTAAATTGTTTAGACATAACTGTAAGTCTTAAGTAAATTGTTCAGACTTAACTGTAAATCTTAAGTGAATTGTTTAGACCTAACTGTAAATCTTAAGTGAATTGTTTAGACCTAACTGTAATAAATTGTTTAGACCTAACTGTAAGTCTTAAGTAAATTGTTTAAACCCAACCGTAAGTCTCAAGTAATTTTTTTAGACCTAACTGTTTTAAATTAAGTCTTATTATAATTTCAATGTGAACGTAGAACTATGCAAAGTATTAAAAATGTATATTTTTTTCAAGTGTAGACAAAGAATACAATTTTTGTCGTAAAAATGTAACAGGTGTTCGTTTTAATTTTTATTTTCAACTTGAATAAGTGTAATATTCCCGTGTAAACTTTGAATCATTGTCAGTGTAAAATTCTAAAGTTTAAAGTTAATGCCTATAATCTGAATAAGAGAAAATGTACAACACATTTACCAATTCCCTGTTTGAGAACTAGGTACCAGGTAAGGTATTTAATATATTATTAAAAAAAAAATCATTGTAAAACATGACTCAGTGTAACTGTGCTCTAATGTCTATAACTAGACCAACTATAAGATAACAGTGACCAACAACGCATCTTGGCCGTATCCTGTTTGCGTCGTGGCAACTTGAACCTACCTCTAAATGTTGAACGATCCTTGCTATAGCTGAACGCTTAAACACTAAATCGGTGTTGTCCAATAAACACTTAGACAAGGAAGCTTTTAACGATCCCAGTTTTTTTTCTCAAACCCCGATCAAGGAAAGCTGACAATCTTTTCCCTATAAATATGAATACTAGTTCTGGCCCGCCAAACAATGGCGCTGCAATGCGTCAACTTCCCATCTGCTTATGTTATCTGACGAAATATGCATCTCAAGTGACGCACTTAATGACAATGCCAATTAGCTTTAAGCGCCCCCCCTCCCCCCCCCTTTCCTTTTTTTCCCCACAACCAGATACTCAAAGGCAAACTTTTTTTCACGCCCCTGAACTAAATTAAAATCCTCACGTCACACCCCATTTCACACCGCAGATTTATTTTCACTCCAATTATTTCCGTAAATCAAAAGAAAATATGACGCACCGAATGCGCTTGCGGGATTCTTAAAAATTGCGGTTATGCGCGGTTGTGGGAAATGTTATTTTGCGCGCTATTGAACTCGCCATTACACCTTACATACTTGAATAATTACAGCAAGTGATGTCATAATTATCCCGAGATAATATCTGGTGGTCAAGGCCAGCCGAGGGTTGTTAATATAATATCAGTAAGAAAAGGAAACGTATGTTGTTGTTTTTTTAAAATGTATTCTCCGTTTATATTCCAAACCTTGAATGGTTTCTTCCAGGCTGAAAGCACCAAGCCAGACCACCGACGTATCATCAACCTATGACGAATTAAAGAAGTCGTTGCTGCCAGAAGACAACCCCTCACACTCGAGTTCGTACCTCACCGTGGGTCTCTATCCCGTCCATTGCCTGGTGCAGAGCCCGACCACCGACGAGACGGTCCTGGAGAGGAGGATGGCCAACTGTTTTCTCCGCGCGTTCATCACACTCCTCCACCTGGCCCTGGCCGGGGGTGCCGGGTTTGTCTGCGTCTACTCCATCATTGGCTGGGACACGACCTACCAGTGTCTGCCTACTCTATTTAATAAAGATGGCACGTCCATGAAGTTCGTAAGTTCCACTTGATAAACTTTTCAGACGTTTACATGAAAAAAATATGTTAAATGATTCCATAGAAGGTCTTGTAACATTGTTTCCCCTTGACAAAACTTAATCCCACCTCCTCTGTCTCTTTTAACTTTTTTTTTTTTTTTTTTTTTTTTTTTTTTTTTTTTTTTTTTTTTTTTTGTCGTGGCTTTGACTGAGTAAATGTCTGAACTCTCTTTATTTTTACTTGTCTCGCTGGCTTAAATCGCTGCCTGTGGGGAGGGGTGGGAAGGTGAGAGATGCTGCTGTTCAATAGAGTTTTACAGTATGCTATAAGACTACATTGAACCAAAAGCCTTGCCAGTTGTACTGCATACCTTCATCGTTAGAATTGTAGTAACATCAACTGCAAGTTTGTCCTATATCACCGCGTGTGAATGACTGAATTATATGTTTATCCGATGGTAACTTTCTCTTTCGGACATGGTGATCTGCGGACCAAATTAACCAGTTTCCTGGCAATATCTTCAACGAAATGAATGACCCTTGGAGAGCTGACCCTTTCTTAGTTACACGCCATCTTTCTGCTTTGTTCATGATAAAAGTCAAAGGGTCAGAGAAAAAAGTTTTATCCGAACACCTGTCACAGAATACAGCCTTGTCCGAGCATCTGTCTAAGTGCCAAATGATTGTTCATGTTCCGCAGCAGTTTTACATTCAATGCTCTCATTTCAAGAATTGATTTTAAATGTTGTGCCCCCCCCCCCCCCCCCATTTGATAACTTCCAAATTTAAACTTTTTGATTGAATCTGGTCCAAACCTGTGTTTCAATTGGTCCAAACCTGTGTTTCAATTGTTCCAAACCTGTGTTTCAATTGATCCAAACCTGTGTTTCAATAGGTCCAAACCTGTGTTTCAATTGATCCAAACCTGTGTTTCAATTGGTCTAAACCTGTGTTTCAATTTTTCCAAACATGTGTTTCAATTGATCCAAACCTGTGTTTCAATTGGTCCAAACCTGTGTTTCAATTGATCCAAATCTGTGTTTAAATTGATCCAAAGCTGTTTTTCAATTAATCAAAACCTTTGTTTCAGTTGGTCCAAACCTGTGTTTCAGTTGGTCCAAACCAGTGTTTCAATTGATCCAAACCTGTGTTTCAGTTGATCTAAACCTGTATTTGAGTTAAACCTGTGTTTAAATTGATCCAAACTTGTGTTTCAATTGATCCAAACCTGTGTATCAATTGATCCAAACCTGTGTTTCAATTGATACAAACCTGTGTTTCAGTTGGTCCAAATCTGTGTTTCAATTGGTCCAAACCTGTGTTCCAATTGGTCCAAACCTGTGTTTCAATTGGTCCAAACCTGTGTTTCAATTGATCAAAACCTGTGTTTCAATTGGTCCAAACCTGTGTTTCAAATGATCCAAACTTGTGTTTCAATTGATCCAAACCTGTGTTTCAATTGTTCCAAACCTGTGTTTCAATTGATCCAAACCTGTGTTTCAATTGATCTAAACCTGTATTTGAGTTGGTCCAAACCTGTGTTTAAATTGATCCAAAGCTGTGTTTCAATTGGTCCAAACCTGTGTTTCAATTGATCCCAACCTGTGTTTCAATTGTTCCAAACCTGTGTTTCAAATAATCCAAACTTGTGTTTCAATTGATCCCAACCTGTGTTTCAATTGGTCCAAACCTGTGTTTCAAATGATCCAAACTTGCGTTTCAATTGGTCCAAACCTGTGTTTCAAATGATCCAAACTTGTGTTTCAATTGATCCCAACCTGTGTTTCAATTGGTCCAAACCTGTGTTTCAAATGATCAAAACATGTGTTTCAGTTGGTCCAAACCTGTGTTTCAGTTGGTCCAAATCTGTGTTTCAATTGATCCAAACCTGTGTTTCAGTTGATCTAAACCTGTGTTTCAGTTGGTCCAAACCTGTGTTTCAATTGATCCAAACTTGTGTTTCAATTGATCCAAACCCATGTTTCAATTGGTCCAAACCTGTGTTTCATTTGATCCCAACCTGTGTTATAATTGGTTCAAACCTGTGTTTCAAATTATCAAAACCTGTATTTCAGTTGGTCCAAATCTGTGTTTCAATTGGTCCAAACCTGTGTTTCAATTGGTCCAAACCAGTGTATCAATTGATCAAAACCTGTGTTTCAATTGATCCAAACCTGTGTTTCAGTTGGTCCAAATCTGGCTTTCAATTGGTCCAAACTGGTATTTCAATTGGTCCAAACCTGTGTTTCAGTTGGTCCAAATCTGTGTTTCAATTGGTCCAAACCTGTATTTCAATTGGTCCAAACCTGTGTTTCAATTGGTCCAAATCTGTGTTTCCATTGGTCCAAACCTGTGTTTCAATTGGTCCAAACCTGTGCTTCAGTTGGTCCAAATCTGTGTTTCAATTGGTCCAAACCTATGTTTCAATAGGTCCAAACCTGTGTTTCAATTGGTCTAAACCTGTGTTTCAATTAATCCAAACCTGTGTTTCAATTGGTCCAAATCTGTGTATCAATTGATCCAAACCTGTGTTTCAATTGATCCAAACCTGTGTTTCAGTTGGTCCAAATATGTGTTTCAATTGGTCCAAACCTGTGTTTCAATTGGTCCAAACCTGTGTTTCAATTTATCCAAACCTGTGTTTCAATTCGTCCAAACCTGTGTTTCAATTGATCCAACCAAACCTGTGTTTCAATTGGTCCAAACCTGTGTTTCAATTGGTCCAAACCTGTGTATCAATTGATCAAAACCTGTGTTTTAATTTATCTAAACCTGTGATTTAGTTTGTCCAAATCTGTGTTTCAATTGGTCCAAATCTGTGTTTCAATTGGTCCAAACCTGTGTTTCAATTGGTCCAAATCTGTGTTTCAATTGGTCCTAACCTGTGTTTCAATTGGTCCAAACCTGTGTTTCAATTGATCCAAACCTGTGTTTCAATTGGTCCAAACCTGTGTTTCAAATGGTCCAAACTTGTGTTTCAATTGATCCAAACCTGTGTTTCAATTGTTCCAAACCTGTGTTTCAATTGCTCCAAATCTGTGTTTCAATTGGTCCAAACCTGTGTTTCAATTGGTCTAAACCTGTGTTTCAATTGGTCCAAACCTGTGTTTCAGTTGGTCCAAACCTGTGTTTCAGTTGGTCCAAATCTGTGTTTCAATGGGTCCAAACCTGTGTTTCAATTGGTCCAAGCCTGTGTTTCAATTTGTCTAAACCTGCGTTTCAGTTAATCCAAACCTGTGTTTAATAGGTTTTCAGTCAAAGTTGTGTCTGCGTTTTTTCACCAAAAATCAAATTCCATCTTTTCCCATTAATTAGAACATATGTACGCATTTGTCGTCATGTCCAATTTGATTAATGATGAGCACATTTATTATCATATACGTCTTGATTACTAAAATTTAAAAAATAATGTTCTGGTAATCCGTGACATTTTCAAAAAAAAAAAAAAGGTATATTGGATACGTCATTTTAACATGTGCTAGAAAGTAACCCAGTGAATGACCCTTGCTGTCCACTGTTGTTCTCCAGGTCAACGGACTGCCCACAGTCTGCAGCGTCATTGTATTTAGTATGAGTGGAGTGTGTATCCTGAACTTTCTTATGTCGATCTTAGTCAACGTGCGATGGATCCATACCTGGTATGTAGTTTGGTGCACGCGTATGATATTTTTGATGGTGCACATATATGACATATTGAAATATAGATCTCATATTGTAGGTAGCTTGAATTCTTATTTTTATTTAATGACTAGCTAATTTACCTGTCTTTTTTAATTTTCCCCCTCTCATGCTGGCATGAAATCCGTCACCAGAAACCAATACCAGCGTCATCACCTTTTATAAGCCCCACTTTCATCCCAACAAATGCCCATTTCTCTGGCAACACGTCTTCCTCCTACATTCCCATTTCCTCCTTCAGCAGCCCCCCCCCCCGTCTCCTTCAACCTCCACTTCTCCCCATGCCCCACCATCCACCAGCTCCTCGACCATTCCCTGACTCCGATCTCAAATCTCGCTTTCCATCTCAATGCCAATAAACCAAGCACCCCTTCAACCTAACCTTATGTCTTCACTATATGCCTCCTCACCTCCAGGCACCTCCCCACCTCCAGGCGCCTCCCCACCTCCAGACGCCTTCCCTTACACGCCCTTATTTTCTCCCAGTCTATCATAACCTCTCCCACTCTATCATAACTTCTCCCAGTCTATCATAACCTCTCCCACTCTATCATAACCTCTCCCAGTCTATCGTAACCTCTCCCACTCTATCATAACTTCTCCCAGTATATCATAACCTCTCCCACTCTATCATAACTTCTCCCAGTCTATCGTTACCTCTCCCACTCTATCATAACTTCTCCCACTCTATCATAACTTCTCCCACTCTATCATAACCTCTTCCACTCTATCGTAACCTCTCCCACTATCACAACTACTACCACTCTATCATAACATCTCCCACTCTATCTCATTTTCTCCCACTATCATAACTTCTCCCACTCTATCACAACTTCTCCCACTCTATCACAAATTCTCCCACTCTATCATAGCCTCTCCCACTCTACGATTCTTCACGTCCCCACCTTTAAAAAACAAAAGAAACAAACAATCAACATTCAAATCTAATTGATTTGTTTTCTTTTTTGACGTCTGCCAGTATCGTCCACAACAACTTGGTCCTGTCCCTGCTAATGGGAGCAATATCAGTTTTTGGCGGGAGTCTGTTCACTGTCCATTACATGTTGTGGTGTGACTCAATGCAACAGGGGTCTTTCTTTGACTCGTAAGTTAATTGTGATGTCAGTTAAATGTGTTTGCCAGACTCACCCGGTAATGGTACTCTGCTATCGTTCATGTCTTTAAAGACAATACGCAAATGTATTACCATGAGACAATCAAATTATTGATATCATACAGACTTCGGTAACTGATCCGTCCGTGCTTCACTATGGGGGAGTGGGATGTCTTTGAACTCTTTGTGCAAATTATAAAAACTTAAAAACGCAGTCCGTTGCTTCGTCTAATTGGAAGAAGTCTGTTCTCCTTTTTCAGGGGCCTCTCCCTTCTGAAGTGTTTTTTTTTTATATTTTTTTTTTTTTCAGGGTTAAATTGATACCACAAAAAAAAAAATTGGAAAAAAAAAACAAAAACAAAAAAAAACCCACACACATCAGAAATTAGATAACGCAGAATGTTCAAATCATTCATTAAGCACACGAAAACGCTGCTTGCCATTTTAAAATCTGTTACATTAACTTCGCCTTTGTTCTTGGGTGGTTGGCTTGCAAAATTCTTCGGAAGGCTGATTGACACACTTCCCGTAAACCTATCGAGATGAAAATTCTTCCAAATTACCACCCCAACCCCCCCAAAAAAAAATATATTAAAAAAATCAGTTTTTTCACGTGTTTCAAGGGGAAAATGAAGAAAATATGATTTCAGGAAAACTGCGCTGTATGAGATGCTTTTGAAAAATGTCGTAACTGCGTGTGGTGTTTTCTTTTGTTTTTCTGAAACAGTTGCTGAAATAAATCTCCGCTGTAAAACCGGTTGAGTCATCATCTAGGCTGGTCATCATCTAGGCTGGTCATCATCTAGGCTGTGAATAATTACAGAGTTTCTAGGTTTTTTTTGTTTTTTTTTAAATCAAGGCAGCTTATTAAAATTCAATCACGTAGAAGCAAAAAATGGAGGATCTTAAAAAATATCGTGGAATCTCGTGACGTCACGAACATAAGCACAGTGACGCTCTGAACATTCTAACTCTGTGACACATATTCAATTATCGCACATAAAAGTGCAGGTACTGGGAATTTGAATTTGCGTGCCTAGCGTGCGCAACGTTTCTGAGGAAATTGCACAGCCGCACATCCACCTACAAAATTGTCTAAGGTATAACAGCGCGCAAAACATGATACCCAACAGCGCTAAATAAGGCTCTTCAGAATACCTCAAGTGTGTTTGGTGCGTAGTGTATTTTCTGTTGTATTCCGGAAACAGTTGTAAAAAATCTGCGAGGTAAAAGGGGGGTGGGAAATTAGAATATTAATATAGTTCAGGAGCGGTGGTTTACGAGGAGGGGGGATAACACATACCCACCCTGGTTGGAAAAGGGTTGGGGGGGGGGGCAATAGTTAGGAATCTTATAAAGTGCTTTACTTGAATGCTAGCTTTATCAAGTGATTTCAGTAGATATGAAAATCCCAAATTTCGCCCGCCATATCTTGGCGTGTTATAATATAAACATCCTAAACATATGTTTTTTTACAACTCTAAAAATATATCTATGCTTATATTTTTTGTTCGATTATACCGTACAATTTTGTTTAATGTAGTTTGTGCCTATAAAACAGTATTACTCTATATTTTAAACAGTTGCAGTAGAGCTGCAGACTACTTCCATGACAACACCGGGACGAGTATGTCTGACTACAAGCATAAAATCGAAGTACAACAGGTAAAGTATTTCATAGCTCATTTATTCTAATGATCGAATTACGTCATGTGCAGGTAATAGAACCCCCCTTCGGATTTGTATAAAAAATGAAGTACAGCGTTCAAGCTGTGTTAAGTGTAGAGTTGAACAGCGTTCAAAGCTGTTGAAAGGGTAGAGTTGAACAGCGTTCAAGCTGGTTAAGGAAAGAGTTGGAAAAAATGTGCGTGGAAGCTCTAGTTAAATAACGTCCTGAAATCTTGGTTTTGAAAAATACAGCATCCGGCAATAACAAAGGACGGTCAGTTAAGATTTTAACTTGTTGCTACTTCTTGTCCTAGTTTCATCCGTCCTGTCTGCTGATGGAGGTTCTTAGCCGAAACGTTCTTGTCTCCTTGTTCGGGTTCTTAACGTGTTTTCGAATTCGTGCCTGTGAAAATCGGAGTGCCTGCCTCTAAGAACTGGTTTTAATTTCAAAACTAGAAGTGTCTCTGGGAAAGTTGGCACATTCAACCCATTTTTTACAACTATTTTGTCAACACTATTCCTTCATAGCATTCTATGTTTTAACTTATTTTTAAATCTCCTTTTTTATTTGAAAATTCGCAAATTACATGAAGGAATATGTGTGCCCTTGTCTTCCAGAAATTTTTCATTTACATCTTATTATGAAATCAAGGGCAGTAACTGTTTTAAACAGATGATGACAGAAACGAATTGGTTATCTCCTCTACTCATATTTTTTTCGTCGAAATGGAAATTGTTAAAAAAAAATCAGATCGTTTCGCAGAGTAGATTCTGGAACCCAATTATAATTTAACCAATTTAAAAAGCTCTTTTGAAAGAGGATACTAAGGGAAGGGGGGCTGCCTTGTGCTACTTATTTTCTTATTTTAAAGAATCTACATATCGCTAATCTCTCTTTCCAGATAGCCACCTGGGCATTATTTCCCCTGTCCTTGTTTGCCGTGTTGACCTACATCTTAATCATACGCATCTCTTCAAGACCGGACCACGGCGAAAACTCGGGGTCCTACCGTTACCTCGTGCTGCGAGAGGAAGACACGCCGCTGTTGCACCCCACGTACAACCCCACCACGAGAAATGCCGCCTATGACAGCAGTGTGAGATACACACCTGCCTACACGGACGGCGTGACCCGAGCAGGTGCCGGAGGCCCTAACTACACGCCAACAGCAACATCAGCCCCTCTGGTCAGAAACACGTCGTCATCTTTTTCACAAGCGGCCCCTCCTTACGGCGCAGCGCCACCACAATCCTACGGCGCCGCGCCACCCCAGTCCAACGGTGCCGCACTTTCCTCCTCTTATAACGCCAACTCCGTCACCATGAGGCCCTTGTCTCCCCAAGGGGCACCCACGTCCTCTGAGTCGTAGACTCAAGGCCTTTACTTTGCCAACAATGTCGAGTTGTTTTTAATTGCACACCAAACTTGTCAGTGAATTGAAGACAATGTCTGGTGACCACCAGAGCATTGTGTGGACATTAAATAGAACTTGATGAACATACAACAACTGATGTCTAAGTTTGTGAACAACTCTATCAATAAATGATGCAATAAAATGCGATTTTCATTTTCAGCTTAAAATTTTCACAACATTTGTCGTTGACAAGTTGTACTGTTACTTGTGTAATATTTACTCAGATTTGTAAGTGCACAAGTGTTGGAGCAGAATAGTTAGTGGCTGTATTAAATTTGAAGAGCACAAGAGAAAAATTGTGATCTCTCATGTCCCTGAAGTCTCAGGCCGGAACCACCAGTATGTAGAAAAATTAGAAGATTTTTAACATACGGTAATTATTTTGCAAAATAATTTTTTTTTCCTTTGAAACATTTTCTTATCTTTGTCGACTCTGTTCCCGGTGTCTTTTTACCAGCGGTTTTTACGGGCTACAATGTAGGGGGAATATGACCTCTGAATTTGACGGTCATTGGGATGAAAGCATCTTGACCGCATTGCAACTAAATGCCCCCCCCCTTTCCCCCAACCCACCCCGCTGTGTTGTTTTCAATGTAAGGTTTAAAATAGCAAGCGTTTTTCTTCTCTTTTTAATAATTTTTATTTACATTCTTTGAGAAGAAATCCATCAAAACCATTTGTTGATGTTCATTGTCTATTTGCCATAAATGATTACGTCATTCTATATTATCATAAATGCATGTGTAAATAAAATTACCGCTTCACTCTTATAATTGTGTGTATATTTTTTTTTCTTCATTTTAGTAAAGTACATGTTGTGGAAAATTTACGGTTGAAAACTCACTTCTTAATGGCAGTGAATATGAAACAAAGGAATGTTTATCATTAATATAACACAAAGGGATGTTTATCAGTTAATATGAACCAAATGAATGGTTTCAAAACTTCATAAGAATACCTATTTCAGACATTCTCTTGATTAAGGGATTAAGTTCAAGGTTTTAACATATTATGGAGATTTTAATCATCAGTTCCTAGTTCAAATGTAAGCCTAACTAGGTCAAACTGTGGATCTCTAAAACTAGGTCAAACTGTAGATCTCAGACTCTATGAAAAAAATGTAGATCTCTGACTCTGTGGCAAAGTGTACTTCTCTGACTCTATGTCAAACTTTAATCTATGATTCTATGGTAAACCTAGATCTTTGACTCTACGCCAAAATTAGATCTCTGAATCTATGCCAACTTAGGCATACGATTCTATCCCAAACTTAGATCGCTGACTCTATACTAATCTAAATCTCTGACTCTATACCTAATCTAGATCTCTGACTCTATACCTAATCTAGCTCTCTGACTCTATACCTAATCTAGATCTCTGACTCATAAGTCAAATTGTAGATCTCTGACTCTAAGTCAAACAGTAGATCGCTGACTCTATGGCAAACAGTAGATCTCTGACTCTTATGGCAAACAGTAGATCTCTGACTCTATGGCAAACAGTAGATCTCTGACTCTATGGCAAACAGTAGATCTCTGACTCTATGGCAAACAGTAGATCTCTGACTCTATGGCAAACAGTAGATCTCTGACTCTATGGCAAACAGTAGATCTCTGACTCTATGGCAAACTGTAGATTTTTTACACTCAGGAACTTTGTACTTTCCTCGTGTTTCGTGTCGTGCCATTAAAAGGGACATAAATCTGATTGGTCCAGGAGACCGATCGTTGTTAAAAGTCATAAACAAGTGGAGACAAAAACCAGTCTTCATCGAGCGTGGGTCTGATTAGCTCCCACTAAATCCCCGGCATTGCTCCCCTTGACAGGCTTCATGAAGATCAATTGAGCTGGATTATATTCTGATCTTTTGGGTGAACTTGGTTGGAACGTATCAGATAATGTTTCATGTCAATGGATGGATTTCATAAACGAAATGGACTCTTACTTCCCCTTGCTAAAAATGCAATACCCATAAGGAATTTACCCCACCCCCCACCCCACCCCCACACACACTCGCAAAAGTGCCCCCACTTCATCAATTGCTTGACAATGTTATCTAAAAATAGACCCATAAAATTTTTGTTGTTAGTCATTTCTTAAATCCTAAGAGAGTATGAGAACCTCAAGCTTGTGGTGTACAACACCGATGTTGGTTTAACTGAAGTTTATAAAAATACTTATAAAAAAAAAAAATAATGGTCATCAAAGGCTTCATCCAATCGGCAGAATTTCGCAAAATGATCAAGTATCGGTCATAAGTTATTTACTGAATGGTTAACAAAAAGATCAAGTATCTGTCATAAGTTATTTACTGAATGGTTAACAAAAAGAGCAGGTCTCAGTCATAAGACTTTTTCTGAATGTTTAACAAAAATAACATACAAAAACTGAAACATAAGTTTCTGAACAACTCTATCAATAAATGATACAATAAAATGCGATATTCCTCTTCAGCTTTAAATAGTCATACTGGTAACTCATTTACTGAATGTTCAACAGGTGTAAGGAAATTCTTTTATTCAGAATTGATATTTAGGTATTTTTGCAATAACGATATATGAATCATCCAAATATTTTTTTTGATAAGTACATTTTACTTTTGAGAATATCCTGTGCATTCTAGTTGGCCCTTATTGGACTACAGTAACTAAATTGGACTACAGCGTCTACATTGCACTACAGTGACTACAATGGACTACAGTGACTGCATTGGCCAACAGTGACTACATTGGACTACAGTGACTACATTGGACTATAGTGACTACACTGGACTACAGAGACTACATTTGACATACATTGGCTACAATGTACTACAGTGACTTCATTGGACTACGTGACTAAATAGGACTACATTTACTACTTTGGACTACAGTGACTACATTGGACTACAATGGATTACAGTGACTACATTGGACTACAGTGACTACATTGGACTACAGTGACTACATTGGACTACAGAGACTACAGTGACTACATTAGACTACAGTGACTACATTAAACTACAGTGACTATAGTGGACTAAAGTGACTACATTGACAACAGTGACTACGTTGGACTACAGTGACTACATTTGACTACAGTGACTACATTGGACTACAGTGACTACCTTGGACTACAGTGACTACATTGGGCTACAGTGATTAAATTGGACTATAGTGACTACTTTGGACTACAGTGAAACATTGGACTACATTAACTACATTTGACTACAGTGATTACATTGGACTACAGTGGACTACAGTGACTACCTTGGACTACAGTGACTACATTGGACTACAGTGACTAAGCTAACCCCCCAGACATTTTGGCCATGCTCTTCCATGGAACGAAAAAGCTTGAAATAAAATTATTTCCCCCTTCCCCCTCCACGCACTTAGATTTCGGGTAATTCAGACATTTTGAAGTGCTCCTCTCATTGGCTCTCCTCCAGGAGCGGAGCAGTTGACCCCACTAATAGTCCACTCAGCTGTACAGATATAATGCTAACGATTGGCGCTGTGTCTTGACTAAATGTGACTTTAGTTTGTTTTGAACGAATTGTTGTGTTGTGTTGTGTTGTGCTTCTTAAACCTATGTAGTGTTTCCATTATTGAAAGATGACATGTGAGGTGGCATAGGGTTTCATTGTCTTTATATCGTTTGCCAGGGTTTTATATGTGTGAAATATTAAATGGGGACTTGGGTTTGACGTCTGAGTCTGCGAACAAAACTGAGGGAAGATAACTGAGACAAGAGGCAGTGTACGTTGATCAGTATATCACCTGGGTTAAAGCAAAAAGGTAAAACTTCATTTTCTGCTGCATTCAAAATATTTATGTGTTTTCAAATTATAGAATAAACTGACTGCAATTTTATGGTTGCATTGTGTGCTGGATTATTACTTCTTGTTTTTTCTTGTATTTGAGGGCCCACGATGAATTATTTAATTTCTTCATCTTGTCAATTTATTTACTTATTATATATTTATTTTCCCTACATTTGTTTATAAATTGAAGTAAACATAACTTGTAACGCTCCACCAATATAGTGCACATTGTATAGCAAGTATGTCTGTATAACCCTAATAGTGTACATTTTTATGGCACGTATGTCTTTATAGCATTCATAGTGTACATTTTATGGCAAGTATGTATTTATAAGCCTCATAGTGTGTGTACATTTTATAGCAAGTATATCTTTATAGCCCTCATAGTGTACATTTTATGGCAAGTATGTCTTTATAAGCCTCATAGTGTACATTTTATAGCAAGTATGCCTTTACAGCCATCATAGTAAAAGTTAAAAGCTTTTCTCAAAACCAGTCCCATTTGTGAAAAGTCAAACACACACATAGAGCATAATAGAATGTTTAGTTGTTTTGATCATATAGACAGACACTAGATGAAACTTTTCACGGCCACTCTAAATTTCAAACTTCTGATCTATGTTATCTGTCATACTGTAATCCAGTCTATCTTGCTGGGACTCAGTCTATCAAACAGTAATCCAGTCTAGCTTGTCGTGACTCAGTCTGTCATACAGTAATCCAGTCTATCTTGCCGAGACTCATTCTGTCATAAAGTAATCCAGTCTACCTTGCCGTGACTCATTCTGTCATACAGTAATCCAGTCTACCTTGCCGTGACTCATTCTGTCATACAGGAATCCAGTCTACCTTGCCGTGACTCATTCTGTCATACAGGAATCCAGTCTACCTTGCCGTGACTCATTCTGTCATACAGTAATCCAGTCTACCTTGCCGTGACTCATTCTGTCATAAAGTAATCCAGTCTACCTTGCCGATACTCATTCTGTCATACAGTAATCCAGTCTACCTTGCCGATACTCATTCTGTCATACAGTAATCCAGTCTACCTTGCCGTGACTCATTCTGTCATAAAGTAATCCAGTCTACCTTGCCGTGACTCATTATGTCATAAAGTAATCCAGTCTACCTTGCCGTGACTCATTCTGTCATAAAGTAATCCAGTCTACCTTGCCGTGACTCATTCTGTCATACAGTAATCCAGTCTACCTTGCCGTGACTCATTCTGTCATAGACTAGCATAGTATATTTGAAAATTAACTATAGTCTTTCATACAGCAACCCATTTTATTTCACAGTAAGACAGGCTATCATAGAGTAACATACTCTGTTTTACATTAACCCAGTATATCTTACAGTAACATAGTCTTTAGTAAAGTTAACCATTCTATATTATAGTAGCCCAGCTTATCTTACACCAGCTCATTCTAACGTGGCTTTTCTTTGACTTATCGCCAATCTCTGTGTTAGACATTTGGGAATCCGTTCTGAAATTAGAGTACTTCCTGAAGACTTTGCCCTTAGATTGAGTCTCACTAAGGCCCCTTACCACTCCCGAATGCCCAGACAGATGGGCTGTACATTAAATGGAAATCCCCCCCCCCCTTTTCCCCGACGACTGGTGAATAATTTAACTACTGCCTCGTTTCGAACAGCAATGTGCTAATTTGGGAATCCGTTCTTAAATTAGAGTACTTCCTGAAGACTTTGCCCTTAGATTGAGTCCCCCTAAGGCCCCTTACCCCCCCCGAATGCCCAGACAGATGGGCTGTACATTAAATGGAAATCCCCCCCCCCCCCTTTTCCCCGACGACTGGTGAATAATTTAACTACTGCCTCGTTTCGAACAGCAATGTGCTAAAAAGCCGAGGAACTTAAAGTGATCCAACTGCTCGCTGGTCAGAAGCAACCGTGAGCTAGTATGCCACTAGTATGCCACTAGTAGTTTAGAAGACACTGAGCTAGTAT